TTCAAGGTGCGCGTCTAATCGAAATCGGACCCCAAAGATGGGACACCTTTTAATGCAACCGGTACCTTTCGATGGTTTGTGTTTGTGTAGGTTAAATGATAATAACAATAATAATAATAATAATAATAATAATAACAAAAAAAAATAATAAATAATAATAAATAATAATAATAAATAATCAGCATAATAATAATACTAGTACTAATAATAATAAAACAAGAGAGAAAAAAATAATAATAATAATAATGACAATTCATAATAATAATAAATAATAATAACAATACATAAATAAATACATAAATAAATACATAAATAAATGAATAAATAAATAAAATACAGAGATAATAATAATAAATAAATACATAAATAAATGAATAAGTAAATAAAGTACATAGATAATAAAAATAATAAATAGTAAATAATAAATAATAATAAATAATAATAATAATAATAATAATAATAATGATAATAATAATAATAATAATAATAATAATAATAATAATAATAATAATAATAACAAAAATAATAATAAATAACAATAATACTAAATAAATAATAAGAATAATAAATAATAATAATAATAATAATAATAATAATAATAATAATAATAATAATAATAATAATAATAATTATAATGATAATAATAACAATAATACTAATAACAATAATAATAATAATAATAACAAATAATAATAATAATGATAATAATAATAATAATAATGATAAATAATAATAATAATACTAAATAGTAATAATAATAATAATGATAACTGTGGTGTACAAGGTGTTTCCCCCTGTGGTTCTGTGGCTATGCGTCACACCTGGCACCCTCGCGCCTTGTTCTGCACGAACTCCAAGTCTGAACCCGTGCCCAGCTCGGGGTACTTGGACAGAGCCGCCAGGGTGTCCTCGGAGGTGGAGAAGGAGTTCCTGGGCCGAAGAGCCAACCCCCCCCCCAACTTGGGGAGTAAGAAGGTTCCCTTTAAAGGGGCCCTTTCTTCCCCCCTCCCCCACATTGGCTCCTGATCCCTTTGGACCCTTTCTTCGGATGAATCTTCCTCCATGTTGTTGGCCCCTGTTCCCCCCTCCGGAATCAGTGGGTTAACTCAGCCAGGCCAACCCCTTCCCTACCTCCTTTCCTCACATGGCACCTGACAGAAGGTCCACTGAAGAGGAAGTTGATCTTCCAGCACAAATGCGATGTCAGTGGAAGGGTACGACCATCCAAATACAACAAGACAACAAGACAAAAGGGCAAAGTGCGCCAACATTTGCCATGGCTCATGAGCATGAACTTGACATCCGTGCCAAAGCGCGTCTTCATGTCCTCCCAGGTCGTTCTTCCAAAAATGGGGGGGGGGGGATTCAAGTTAATTATCAAACATCCGGGTTGGTGGTTTCAGAGAGAAACCAAAGGGCCAACCTCCTTTTGCTGGTCCCGCTTTCTACCTGGCTCCCATTGTAACACACACACACACACACACACACGTGTGTGTTATGCAAAATGTGTGTTGGAGCCATGATTTTCTGCTCAATGCTCCCAGAAGCGCTCGGTCTTTAAAAAAAAATACGGGTGTTTTGTGTTCGGAGGGAGGCGAGCAATTGCTGCGCTTTCCAAAATCGCAATGGTCTGCGGCTATTTGTGCTCGTTTTGCGGAATTTGTTGCGCTCGTTTCGCACTTCGAGTTCTGCTCGCTCCTTTCAGCGAGCCATCATCTTGGAGGACCGATCAGCCCGGTTTTGGGAAAAACGCTCGATTCAGAAAAAGTGTATGTTTACCATATTTTGGATACGACCCGTGGTTCTGCAATACGTTTAGGCTCAGGGCAGAAATTTGGGTAACAAAGGGCGCTCCAGGTAACTAGGGTTCTTGGTTTCTTCCCTCCATCAATCTGGGGAGTGGTTGATTCGCAAGCATACTGATTGGCATTCCTTTGAACTCAGCAGTTTCTCTGGCACAATGTCGGGCATTGGTTTGGGTTCACAGTTAGTCAACCTGGGGAGTGGTTGATTCCCAAGCACATCACTGAAAAATCGGTTGGCATTCCCCTAAGTTCATCAGTGGCACCCCCACAAAAACTCCGTAGAAAAAATAGAAAAATAAACTATAGGTCGGAAGGCCCTCTGCGGCCTGCCTTCCAAAACACACCAAAAATATCCGAACAATTCCGGGCATTTTCTTGGGTCCACAGAAACTGGCAACCCCCCCAAAAAGGAACACCTCACACACAAAAAACAACACAAACAAACAAACAAACAAACAAACAAACAAACAAACAAACAAACAAACAAACAAACAAACACACAAACACACAAACAAACAAACAAACAAACAAACACACAAACACACAAACACACAAACACACAAACACACAAACACACAAACAAGTCGGAAAATTCAACCCCTCTGCCCTTCTGCCTTGACCTGCTGGGCGATCAAGTCCAAGAAGGACATGCCTCCAGTGACCGGCAGCAAGGACTTTGCCTTCTCCAGACCCATGCCGGTGCCCAGGCCCCCGTTCAGCTTCAACACCTGCGGAACTCCGAAACCCCGAAACCCGAAACCCGAAACGCAGAGCCACGGCAGAATTCGCGCCGGTGCTTGGTGTGTCTCAGAAATGGGGGGGGGGGGGACGTGTGGTTTTCAACTTTGGGTTTCCAGTGCAAATACACCCAAGACAAGATTCCTGGACCCGCAAACTGCCCCAATTTATGGTGGTTTGATTGTCCAAATACCCAAAAGAGGAGCCACCAGGGGGGAGGGGGGCCGGGGGTGGGAGGGAGGGGGGCAGGGGGGTGGGGAGGAGGGGGAGCAGGGCATGGCGGGTTTGAGGGGGGTTGGTCTTTAAAATAAGAAGCCCCCAAAAAAAACGGTGGCCAGTGTCCTTTTCCTCTCCCGAAGAGAAATTGCAAAGCCACCAAAAAAAGGCGGTAACCACTGAAAGAGGACCGCTTTTCGGAACTTTGGATTTTGGACATGGGAGCAAGCAGCTGTCATAGGCGACCTTCTGGAGAAAAAACAGATGACCCTGGTACATGGGTAATCAAGTCAATCTAAACCAGTGGAACCCATCTATGTCTAGCCAACCTAACCAACCTAACCAACCTAACCCACCTAACCCACCTACCCATCAAACTCATGGTAAAACCATCTCAACCAGTGGAACCCATCAGAAAGGACACCCAAACCGACTCCATGTTCTTCGGCTTTCCCAGGCCCACCACGGTCTGGTTCAGCAGGGCCGGCTCCGGCTCCACGGCCAAAGACTCGTAGGAGGGCAAAGACTCCACCGACTTGATGGCGCCTTGAAGGGAACGGGGTTCGGGAGGGTGGTGCAAGGAAGGGAGCGGGGGGGGGGAACTGTAAGGAGCCCTAGACCCACTTACCCGTGTACCTACCCAGAATGGGACTTCATACCCGGGATGTCCCCCGAAAAAACTGCTGTTTTCCTTTGGGCTTCCCTTATGTTACCCAGGTTTTATTGCTAAATGGGCGTGCCTTTCCTGAGGGTGTCCTTTTTGATCGGTTGTCTTTTTCTGGGGAAATAGAAAGCAAACCACCATTTTTTAGCCCCCCCCCCCAAACATGTGTTTTTCTTTTGGCCCCACTTTAAACCAACCCTGAAAAGGATACCCTCAAAAAATTACACGCTCACCTGGCAGTAGAACTTGGAAAGCGCTCGGGGCAAAGCTCTTTCTGGATGTGGCATTTTGGCCACCAGACTCGTGGGAACTGCTGCGAAGCCCTGTATTAGAAGGGGTTAAACCATGACTCATAGTTTACAAGCGTAGCCGTGACTCAATATGAATTTGACGCGCCCCACAACCATTCTGATTGTGTAGGCCCTTACAGTGTGCGCATTGCGGGCTGGTATGTTACGCAGCCCACCGAATAGAAGCAGAACCAGAACCGGGGCTTCCTACATTTCTCTCTTAAACATCACTCCAACAGAACACTCACCTCATCCAGCTGCGCTGTGTGTCTTCGAGCTCGAAGAGCTCGGGCAACCCTACCCGTAGGGTATACCGCTGACGTGTTTTGTTGCACCCCAAGCTCCTCCTCAGCATTGCCTGCGTCACCTGCACGCAGGCCGGCCCAAACACTTGGACCCCAAAACATCCCCGGCCTCCCTGGCCTTGCGACGGGCTTCTGATGCCACGTTGCCCGACCTTCAAAAAACACTGTAAAAACTGTGCAAATCGCCAATCACCAGCACCCGGGCGTTCCAGCATCCCTTGCATCCTTCAAAAATGGCCCCCTGAAAGTAGGTTTTGGCGGTAGGCGGACATGGCAGGCAAGTCTGCAATCGAGTGAGCGGCTTTTCTTGCGGCGCGCGCCGGACGCAAGCAGGCACACATGCACTCAAGCTAGGGTGGGTGAGCGCATGCTCAGTGTCAGGGCGGTTGGGCAAGCAACCTTGCAGCGTCTCGCGCGTGTGGGTTCGCAGCGAGCGCGTGCTTGGGTGGGCGCGTGGTGTGTGGGTTTGCGGGCGGCATGGGTGGGTGGGGGGGATGTGTCGGCACGAGCAGGTCCGGAGGTCAGGCTCTCAAACAAGGTCCCGCCTAAACAGAGTTCTTCTTAGTGCTCCCCATCTCACCTGTCCGACCGGCCAGCGCAGCTGGTGATGGCGAAGCCCTAGGATTGGTCCAACAAGTGATGTTTAAATCGGCTCAAAAGGAACAACAACATGAGACCTACAAGGGGTTCCTTCAATCCGCTAAAGTTTTTAGTTGTTTGGTTGGGATTCCATCCATCCCCTTCGGTTTTCTGTTGTTTTAGTTGGTTTTGTGCTTGAGCGTCCATTTAACCTAGAAGTTAAAAGCTTTTAGCAGATCAAAAAACGGACAGAACAAAAAGCGGCAAAGCTGTGCATGTGCCTTTTTTCAGCGAACCCAAACATGAACTTCGGTTTCATGTGTGTTTTTGTTGTGGCTGTAAAGCCCACAAAAACAAGGGGATACCATCAACAAAAAGACAGATCTCTCCATTTGCTTTTTCGTCCCCAGGAAAATACGAGAAACTATGTATCCAGTAGTGACATGGATTCCCTTTAAAACCAACAGGGGAAAATAGAGATAAATCGTAAGTAAATGGAAGCTTTCACTGGGGTCTGAGAACCTGCACTTTCTGGAAGGTTCGCGGCTGGGAAACTCCTGGGAAACTCTCTTCATTTCAGAAAGTCGGATCCAGCCGATATGGACCTAATCTTCGCTGAATCTATGGCTTCCCCAAGTGGTCGACCCCCAATACTGGGGGATACTATCAGGGTCAAATTGTGCGGTCCGAGGTTGGTCTTTTTGGAAACCCTGGGTGTCCATGGGACATGCTCTCTCCCTGTTTTAGTGGCTTGGCAAATCATACCAATTAATGTTGACCCCCTATTAATCAACCCCAGCAAATCCACAGGGGGGAATTTCCCTCCAAAAGTGAGACATCCCCACTAAACCCAGGAAAAAGCACCCCCTATTAATAATTAAAAAAGAAACAAAGCGGGTTGGTTGCTGAGTATGGGGCCAATATGACCCACTAAACAGAACCGGCAATCGGTTGCGGGGCTTCAGTCCCGCCCCTGCCCGAGGCGCCCTCCGGGATCATGGTGCTCTGCCCCGAGACCAGCACCGAGAAGTTGTACTTGAAGGCGGCCATCGCCGCCTCGTTCCTGGGATAGTTCCACCCGGTTCCCCGTTGTTTTCCGTTGCCCTGAGAGAGAAACGGCCATGGACCTCTTTGGTTGTTTGTTTTTCGTGTTTTCTGAGAGAGAAAAGCGAGAAAACAAAAGCAACGCGTACGTCCATTTGTTCAGGTCCATCGGGAAAAAAGGGAAAACCTATGTTCAGTGGTGATAGATCCCCTTTACAAGAGAAAATGAAAAGGGCTCGTCAAAAGTGGGGGGCCCTTTTTGGTATCCTCTTTAGTAGGCGGCACACGTACCGGTGGCACCAGGTCTCAATTGGGTCGGGTTCAATGGATCACCCATCTAAACCAACAAAAAACAACAAACCTTTGGCGAAATGGTATCAAAGTCAGCAAAAAATGTCGAAATTCGGAGTTTCCCAACTAAAAGCCACTCAAAAGCCCAGGAAAAAGCTAACAGCCAAGGTTCAAGCCTTCCTTGCGCATCTTCCCCTCATACTGAGGCCACAATTCCTCCATCCTGTGCTCGCGGGCAAAATCGGATCGGCGCAGATCGTGCGCTGGGCCGAAGTCTGAGAGCCAAATGTTCGGCTCACGGAAATTTGGCGCCTTCCGATCTGAATCACATGGCCATGGCTCAAAATCCAAAGCCTGGTTGGCCCCCAGTGAGCATCCCAATCCAACCACTCAGACAGGCTCTAAGATGGGTGGTGAATTCACCTACCAAAAAATGGTACCATTGGGTTTGACCCACAGCCACATGGGTATGGGTCAAAATTAGTCGCCACCAGGAATTGGACCACAGGTTTTAGGTGTCCACTTACCAGGGCAACCCATTTTTGGGTACCTATTCTTGACCCACAGCCATGAATCAACCCCAGCTCACCATTAATAGGGGGTTGGGGGCCCCTCCAACAATTGTCTAGTTCCCCACTAAACCCAGTTGGACACCACTAAACCTATGAAACTAATCTGGGGTAGATTAATCCGGGGTCAACATTCGGGACCCAGAAGTAGAAGGTTCCACGTCTTGGGCCCCCCACTACAAATGGCCGCCAAACAATTCTCAGTGGAGCCATTCACCTGGTAGCAGGGAACCAAGGGCTCCCAAAGACAAACTTGGCGAATCGAACATCCAGAACCTCACCTGGCCGAATGGTTTTCGCTGGACTCTGGACGCCGCCTGTAGCCTCCGAAGGTGATCTCGCTGGACCCGTCCTGTGGGAAAAACAGAAGAGAAAAACGACCCGGAAAACCAACCAACAAACAAACAAAACGGCCCTAAGCAACAAAACATTATTGTGTGTGTGTGTTTTTTCTTCTTTTTTTTCCGGCCCCCCAAAAATGACAACACGGTCTTATGTTCATTCTTGATTTTTACTGGATGGGGGAAACAGAACCGACAAAACATACACAACAGTCGGAGGAGAAAAAAAGCGGACATGAGCAGGTTTGCTGCAGAACATCTTGGCAATCGGTGCCAACCCCCCCCCCTTTTCATGGATGAAATGGGAGGCTTGGTCGCTTGAACTCGAGAGAAAATCCACCCAGGAGAAGGGTCTGCAAGCTTTCAACCGCAGCAAGATGCAAACAAAGCCAAGTCGCTGATGATGAACATGGGGCGTGGGGGGTTTGATTGTCCCTCTGCGTTTGTGGCGGAGAAACGAGCATGTCAAGTATTCATTCCGCAGTTTTGCTCTGAAAAGTTATAAGGCTGGCATCTTGAGTCCGTCAGTTCGCAAACTGGGAGGATAGGCCTGGAGGACGAGATGTTCAAACTTCAAACTTCACCGTGTTGAGGCGCCGAAAACTCTGATGGCCCGACATTGAAGCGCGGTTGAAGATTCTTGTGGGCAAATGCAACG